ATAAAGCAGGTGCCAACTTGTATATGGATATCTTGTTATAGAGGAGTATGCTCTTTTTTCTCTGTTAAAAAGAAATTTACCCTCACGTATTTGGTTTTCTAATAATGATTGTTTAGTCTTAAAATGCAGTAGTCAATACAATTTAGAAGTCTGACGTATTAAATCATTATAATTGTCTCTAATAAAGATAAAATGTTGTATTAATAGTGATTAATTCACCACTTCTCCAACTAGGAACTGAGGAGAAAATAAGTTCATGTGAGCTAAGACACCTTCCTCCCTGCCCCCTCTCCCCACATATTATACATGCATGTGTGCACATAATAGCTAATAGCCTCGGAGGAAACTAGGCAGTGAGAATGTGTTCCTGCTTAGCAAGAGAGTAGCTTGGGACGGCAGGGTTACAGAAGACGTGTCCCAACATGCACGGCTTTATATCAGACATGTTCAAATGATACCCAAGGTGTTTCTCCTGCACTCCACGGAAGATGAACAAGGGGCATTGAAGAACTGAGAGTTGGATAAGGACCAACCCATCTTTTTGTGTCCACAAAAACTAGTTAATAGCCCTATTTTTCTTTAAGTGATTACTGTCAAGAGATCTTATTTTGGTTGAAACATGAGTTGGCCAGGGAGACTTGAAATGGATTGTCTGTATTTTCATTATTAACTGATTCCAGAAAAAAAATCTCTCATTATTCATGAAGGAGTATGAATAAAATAGAATTTGCAGCCTTGTTCAGGATATAGCTCAACTTTCACCAATGGAGCTGAGGCTGAGGAGTGTTTTCCACTTCTTTGTGAGTTTTATCACCTCATGTATATTTATAGGAGTCCCTCCTTATCTATGGGGGATAAGTTCCAAGACCTCCAACGTATGCCTGAAACCTCAGATAGTAGTACTAAACCTCACATTTACTATGTTTTTTCCTATACATCCATACCTATGATAAAATTTAATTTAAAAATTAGGTACAGTAATAAGAGATTAGCAGTAATAACTAATCATAAAATATAACAATGATAACAATATACTGTAATAAAAAGTATGTGAATGTGGCAATATTAAGTAAAATAAGAGTTACTTGAACACAAGAACTACAACATTTTTGACAGTCGATCTGATAACCCAGGGGGCTACCATGTGATTGACAGGTAGGTAGCAACAGATATGTATAGAGTGGACACATTGGACAAAGGGATGACTCACATCCTGGGCAGGATCGAACTGGATGGCGTGAGATTTCATCACGCTACTCAGAGGGCATGCGATTTAAAACTTATACATTGTGTGTTTCTGGAATTTTCCATTTAATATTTTCAGACCACAGTTGACCATGGGTAACTGAAACCATGGAAAGTAAAATCACAAATAAGGAGGAACTACTCTATTTAGTTATTTTTATTGTCAACCAGTGTCAACCCAATCGGTACTCTGCAGCAGTAGCAGCAGCATCTGGGAGCTTGTTAGAAATGCAAATTTGCAGGCCCCTGCTAGACCTACTGAATCAGAATCTCTGGGGATTTGGCTCAGGAATCTGTTTTTTTGTTTGTTTGTTTTTTTATAAGCTCTCTGGGTGACTTTTATGTACACTAAATTGTACAAATCTGGTCAATGAGGGGAGGCACTCAAAGAAGATAGGAGCACAAAGTAAGCAAGTTTTGTGATTCTTTCTTCCTACAAAAGATAAATTAAAAGAAAATTACTCAGAAACCAAATGAAAGTTTCTCTTGGTCTCCAGAGAATATGTGATCCTTTTGGAGAGCAATGTTACAGAGATAAGGAACAATCACTCCCAGAATGCCCTTTTTCCTAAGAGGGGAGGAGGCTTATATTCACCAAATTACAGGGCACCAAATTCTAATACAAATGCATTGCAATGTTCAAGAAAAGCTTAGGATTATAAACGTTACTGCTAATCTCTTTGGTACGAATATTTAGAGTTCAGCACCATGATAACTGCTACATCACTGGTCTAAATTGCTGTTGCAGTGTATATTTATTACATAAGTGTATATTTATAACATAGGTATCTCTTTCATAAGTTTTCCTCAACACATTCAATCTGCAGGCTTCACTCGCCATTCGCAAAAAAAGCAATTATGCCTTCAAGAAGGGCATTTTATGTATAATTTAACTTTAACATCTGCCTGTTAATGGTAGGTTCCAATTTAGCAGATAATGACTAAACAGTAACGGATCTTAGAATTGGAGCTATAGGAATAGCAAGCTCCTCCCCTGAGAACAGAGCAAGGAGGTTCCCAGGAAGCCCGAATGTTATCAAAGGCCAATCCACCAGTCACATCTGCTTTCTGAATGATATTTTCCAGGGAAAATATTGGAAAACAAACAGACAAACAAAAGACAAAAAAATAGTATGTTTTCACATTGTAGCAATGTAACAAAATCAGAGGACCTATTACCTTTCTACTATTTTAACCCTCAACGCCTGGGTGTGTACAATGAGATTGGGTTAAGTGAAATCATTATTTGGTGAGTTTGACTAATTTAAAAATTGGGCAACTTAATCATTTCCCCTGTAGTTACTCTGTTCCTCAACTAGCAGTATTTATAAAATAATAATATAATATTTTCCTCCCTCTAATTCTCTTTTTTTATGAAGACAAGAGCAATATCTATTTTTGGTCAGTGATGCTGTTTTTAATACTTTAACTATTTACCAGTAAAGGAATGTCCTAATCTTGACGGGAAAATATTTTTTATTTTCCATTTTTAGTAGACACCTTAACAGCTTTTGATTCAATCTACATGATTAATCATTATTTTCATCAATTATCCAGACAAAAACCTGAGTATACTATATTTCTCCTTCCTGACAACACAGGGTCTCTTAGCAAACTTGATGAATTTGTTTTGTATCCAAATTAAGTGAAGCCTAAAAATAAATATTTCGTTACAGCAACCTAAAGGAAAATTAAGAATGAACAATAGTACTAACAAATAATACTAAAGAAAAAACCATATTGTTTAAAAGGAACATTTGTTGAGGCTTTGTCATGGACAAAAGGCTTAGTACCTTTTAAGATAATTTGGAAGTTTTTTCAGTTTATATTGTCAATGTGTAAATTTGGAGCCATTATACTGCTCCATATATAATATGATTTTGTATCATATTATTGAAATGAGTAAAATGAAAAAAAATATGATTAATACTAAAAATCAATATAATATAATAATATAGTTTTTACCGTTGTGTATGATAATTTTTCAAACTGATTTAAATCATGAAAGCCAGCAAACAAACTTAGCAAATAAGGTATATCTTTTTTGTAAATAAATATGTAAAATGTTTTCCAAACAGCAGGTGGCAATCTTTGTAAATTTGATTGCAGCAGCACCATCTTATCTCTATATATGCTGATGAAAGATAATTTTAAAAGCCCAGTTAAGAACCCTGGCATGCTCAGACTAGTTTAGATACCTTCAAATATTAAATGGGTCTTATTTAATCATGCTCACTATTCTAATGACATTTTTTCCTGAGCAAAAATAAATGTTTTTGTTTAATGCTTCTTAATTCTTATGCAGCACAGGAGGAATTTCATAATGCTGATCAGCATAGGTATCCTTCTCAACAAAACCCTGCATGCTGGTTACTTATCATCCTGAATTCACATGGCCTTAAGAATTGACAAAACTAATTTTAGGTTTTTCATAAGCTCTACAAAAATCTACTGACATATTGATATGCTAAGAGGCCACTTTCTGTTGGTATTAGAGTTGAACTATGGGAAGTCATTAAAATTCTAAGTATGGAGAAATATAAAGTTTTGAACCCTAGATATCTCTTAAAATTCTTGGTATTTTTTTTTCTAAATTGAAGTAGTTATATTAGACAGAGATAGAAATGAATAGCTTTCTGAACTCAAATAGGAACCTCAAACAGTTATTCTATAGTCAACATACTCATCACTAGGAAGGAACAAGAGAGCCAGCAGGATCAGCTAGCTTGCTCACAGAAAGTTACTAGCAGCAACATGACTCTAACTAGATCTTCAAATTCTCTAAGTCCAGCACTTTCCTTCATACCCAACTGTGAAACTTTAAAATTCTGTCAAATCAACTTTTCTAGCATGTTCATAACAATTTTGCCTATGCTATCACTCTAAAATCCTAATTTTCACTTATTTATTAAGTCCTCAGTATGTCAATAATGTTTTGTGAGACGTACACACAATTAGGAAGGGGTCTGTGTTCTAAATAATCTTTTAAAATACATGATCTATAATCTGGGCAATTTCTGACCTATCTTTTTTTTTTTTCTATGCTTAACTTTTTTTTTTTTCAGTTGTAGTTATTTTTAATGTTGAAGTTGAATTCACATTTTTCAGGCTTATGCTTAACTTTTTAATGTAGCAATACTTCCATTCTTTCACCACTAATTAAGACCTTATGGTTTCTTTTTAAAATGTGTTCCTCATAGGAATTCACTTTTACAGCAGAAAATGGGGCAAGGGCAAGTAAATGGGGATGTCCAAGGTTATACATCAAGACAGATTAACAGCAGAATTTACAAGTGTCTGAATTTCAACATCATCTCTTTATTTTATCACTTAGCTATCTAACACTTATGTGTTTATACTTCTACTATAAATAATCTAAGACAACTTGTTTTGTGTTTTCAGTAAACAAATATTTCATGAAAATAGTGAAAAAAATAATACCTCAAGCTAATTTAAATCATATTGAGCTATGTTATTGTTCAATATGGCTACCTTTGTATTATCACATTTTCAATGTTATTTTGCAGCAAATAATTTAAAAATCTATAGAAGAAATAGCCTAAGACACATAGACAGAGGAAACTCCATACATTATGGAAACAAGGAAATTGCCACGTATGATTAGCAATCCTTCAATTGAGGAAGTACTACCCTTAATCAATGGCAATATTTTAAATTCTGCGTGTTTTGTTTGTTTGTTTTTTTGTTTTAGGTAACAAAATGTTTTCATTGGGATAACCTCAGGTTATTCTCACCAGGACATCGCTGCTCACTGCATCTTCTCACTTCTTCGCCTGTTCCCTCACATTGCTGCCCTGTTATCGCTGCACCCTGACAGGTCCTCATTCGCCTTTCCCAGCCGCCATCACAGGACTTGGAACATCCACTCCAATGACCCCACTGATTCCACTGACCATTGGCTGAAAGAAATGTGCCCTGGTCAATGGCAGTAGTCTACTACACACTGCTTTAGTAATTTTAAATCTAAGGACCATTACTGACTGCGCAATTTTCATTCATCTACCACCATGAATAAACTCTATTCAAATATTTAACTTGCTGGTCAAATAAAGAGCACTGTGATGAACAGAAGTTTATATAAGTTTGGCAGAATCTTCAACTGGACATCGAACCTTACTTGTCAAAATTACAAATTCAGTGCTAAACTTCATCAATTTAATTGCTATTTAATCTAAGGATCTTCTGAATTTTGCTTGTTTGTTAATGCAACACAGAGTAAGATGAGCTCTGATACAACTAGCTTCATTTACTATAAATACATAATCATTCAATTGTACCATGACTGTTTGGCATGGTTCTGTCACATTTTTTAGGTGGCAGGCATCCCTTAAATGCAGTAATCAGGTCTTACCTGTACACTCAGGATTATAGCACTCTCTGCTTTCTGCCCATGGGCCCCTGCATTCAGAACCCCCATGAGCGGCTGCAGTGCACTGCCGGCTTCTCTGCTGGGTCCCATTCGAGCATGTCACTGAGCACTGGCTCCATGAACTCCACTCCTGCCACTGTCCATCAACTGCCAAAGCACAAAGAAAGACTGTGTAAGGAGACCTTCCAGTAGAGAAGGCTGTACAGAAAGTACAAGGTAAAACAAACTTTGAAGATGAATCCCAACCAAGGACTCTAAAGGAATACAGTGGAAGGTCACATTGGCATTAGATTTTATTCCTATCCTTCAAGCTAGTATTACCTTATTTTCTTGCTTCTGTTTCCTTATATGTATCCAGTAGTTCTTTTGATTCATTTATTTCTTCAAAAATATCTATTGGTCACTCAAAAATGCAAGACGTTGATGGGTACAGGCTACAGTGAGCAGAATAAATACTGACCAATAACCCATAGAGCTCATATTTTAGAAAGAAGTCCCTAGAATAACTTAGACAATCTGTTACATGCTAAATAAATTAATTATGTAGCAATGCTGTGAAGGATAATTTCAAGACACTGGGAGACAAGAGTTTGGGGTGTCTAGGGAATCTTCTTTGACAAAGTGAGGTTTCAGGCAAGCCTTGAAGGATAATGAGGAAACACCTAGGGTAAGGGGATATTCCATGAAGACATACACAGGTCCTTGGCCGAAGAAACGTGGGCACTTCCTGGGTCTGAATGAAGGCCTTTGTGAATGGAATAAAGAAAGCCAGGTGAAGAGATCCACCAGGGGAGGTCTGTGAAAAAAGGAGATGTCAGCCTTTGCAGGCTTTTTGTCAACTGTGTTAAGGATTTGGACCATTATTCTCAGATCAATAAGAAGCCAGTGAAGGATTTAAATAGGATTGTATGATCAGATCTAGTACAGGGTGGTGACAGGATTATAGGACAGGGTAGGGGTTATGTGAGCCAGGCTGGTGAGCAGCGCTGATGGAGTGTCCTGGAAAGATTAGAGCACTACTTGGGGGAAGCTTGATGACTTCCATGTGTCTGGTGACTAAAATTTAACAGACTGTTGAACTTGCCTTTGAGAGATTCAAATTGAGATTCATTTATTCATCCATTCCAATGATTTTTTGAGAGTCTGTTAGTTATCAGACACTGTGATAGGTATTATGAGAGATAGAGAAATAAAAGAATATGAATCACAACCTAAAAAATCCTATAATTTAGTAGAAGAATTACGTTATCCACACAAGTAAGTAAATAAAAAGTTAAAAGCAATACTATCTTAACATGGCACATGAAGGCTTTCATAGAACAGAGCACATCTATTTGGGGGTAATTATGTTAGACTAGTATGGTGAGATTTGGATCATTTAGAAAAGGGAGACAATATTCACAAAGGCATAATCCCAGAGTTATAACACAAAGGTATAATCGCAAAATACAAGTGAGCAAAGAAATCGGGAAAAACTATTTACCTAATTTAGAATGCATTAGCTAGCACATAAGTGTTATAAATGTACTGTAAATGACTGTATTTTTTCCAATATGTTTCCTTGGTTCTTAGTCAATTTCCTTACAGTGAAAGAGAATTCACCACAAATCCAAAGTTCCAACATATGCTAATGTTGCTGTGAAAACCCACCCAAACCAATGAGAAAGCCTGGAAGATTATGAGTAAGTGCTTTCAAGCTCATTTCAGAACCTGCAGGTAGCCATTAAAAGAAGGTTGTTTAATAGGGATCTAGCTGTACTTTATAAACCCTTCATGATATTAAAAGTCACAAAATGCCAATTTAATCACCTCATTCATAAAATTTTATCATTTCACTTTATTGAAAGTACCTGATACAATCTTATTGGCTATGTAGTCCATTGGCCAGAGAAAAAAGAAAAGTCTAGTGAATCAATAGGAGTTTATAAATTATCCATTTCCTCTCTATTTTGCCTTTAAAGATGAGTCCATTTTTCATTTAAGAATCTTGCTTCTCAAAGATAACACTATTGAGCTTGCATTATGAACCATCACTGTCCTAAGTGTTCTAAGAAGGCTTTATAAAAATAAGATTCATGCCTGCACCTTGCCATCTATTTGGCAAAAGAATGTACGGGTATTCGAATTGTTGAGACCATGCTGAAAGCAACACATAAACAAAAATGAATTAGGTGATGCCAACATAATTCAGTGCTGAATGATTAGAATAAAGGAATATGTAATATCTTAAGAATTCTGGTTTTAGGTAAGTTTTCAGGATTTTTTTTTTAAAGAACGGTAATAATTTCTCCCTGGCAAAGAAAAGAGGATGGGTCATTCAAGCTGAGGAAATGTGGTGTCAGGGATGAGCAAGGGAAATGTGGAAATCAGAGAGAATGTGATTTGGCAAGGGGTTGTATTATTGATGGATGGGGAATGAGAAAAGACCTTGGTGAAAAGAGATTAGGAAGAATAGGAATATCTATGAAGTATTTTGCTCATCAGACTTTTTCCTGTAAAAAGGCTTTGCATCACCATCAGTAAAAAACAAAAATTAATTTTAAATTCATACATTTGTAATATTAGTTGTTCAGTCCTTTCAGCCAATGTACACATTTTACGTTTCAGCTAAAGTTCAAGAATGATTTAATATAAGACACTTGAGGGACTTTTTGAGGTTCAACATCAAACATAAAAAAAAACAAGTTTTAGATAGGAACAGTTTTGTTTATCAAGGCAGGCAGTTACAGTAAAGAAATAATGAAATTAAAGGTATATCAAGTAGATATTTTTGACGTTTTATTTTACAATGAGAACTAAAGTTCCTTTTATTGAACATTAACTGAACCATTATGAAATAACTGACTTGACAAAGTAACTAATTGGATATTAAAAAAAAAGGAAACCCCAATATTCCTTTATCTTGTTAAGTGGAATTACTAGGAAAACGGAAAACTGAGAAATTAGAAAGAGAGGGGGATACGTGAATTTAACTTAAAGGATTAGACAAAAGATATTATATACAAACATGAAAGAATTTATTTCAGAACCAAATGTGGGACATTGTTTTATTTCACTGTTTATTTGTTTGTTTGTTTTATTTCAGGGTTTGTTTGTTTGTTTTTCCAGTTTGGTACCCTAGAATTAAAAAAAGAATCATGAATTGTGTTCTTTTTAGGGACATCAGCCCCAAGCCCTTTCAGGAAATGGTAATGCCATTTTACTGAATAGAGGACTGGGGGCTTTTGAGAGGCGGACATTCAGAGTTCCGTTTTGGACATTTAAGCCTTTCCAAGTAGAATATGTGCATTACATTTCAGAGATGGATGTTGAGATATTTTAAAATAAAAACCATTTATCATATGATCTATCTAATATTTCTTTTTCATAACCACTCACTAGGTACTACGGGAAGTGAAGGAACTGCTTTTTTCTTTTTATCTGATGCTTAACTGGGAATCCAAAGTGGTAAGAGGCTGCTCTCCTTCAGCCCTGAATTCTGTTTGCTTTTCACCTCTCTGAGTATCCAGGCAATAGAGAGGATCAATGCCTTTCTCCACCCCACCTGCCCTGTGTACAGGTGACTTCTGACATTTGTCAGAGATACCACCAGTGTCACCGCAAACCCATAAACTTGAAAATACCTCAAAGCTTTCTTTCTAAAACTGCGTGCCTACTGAAAGCTGATTAACATCTTTTCGTTCTGTTAGAAAAGTGTTCCCTGATAATTTGGGGAAATGGAAACACCCTGAAACTCCTCTTGGAGCCTCATAACGCACTCCCAAGTAAACGTTTACAGAGAATCTATGCTGTGGCTGGCACTGTTCTACCAGACTCTAGGAAAACGGCGGGAAAGACTGACCAAGGTCTGCTCTCTTGGGACGTGCAGTCTGAGGAGCTGTGAGGGAGACAGATCACAGACAAATAAACAGGTGAATAAACAAGAGAGCTTCGGCTAGACGTGTCATGAGGACAATGTGATAAAAGAAGGCAATGTGGTGCGGAACGCTCAGCCATACTTCTTGGAAAAGGCCAGAAATGAGCTGCGTCCTGCGTCACTACAAGGAGCCAGAAATGTTAAGATCTGTGGGAAGCCCTCCCCAAGTGCAAAGCCTTGAGGTCAAGAAAGCTTTTCCTACTCAAGAACAGGGAAAAGGCTTGTGGGAGTCATGAAAAGGGGGGAGGTGGCAGCAGATGGGCTCAGATGGTGTTCAGAAGCTAGATCCTGTAGGGCTCTGTAGGTGGTGTGACCAAGTAAGATGGGGAGCTATGAGAGGACTTTGGAGTCGAGAAGTGATGTGACCTGATTTCACATTTGAACACTTACTTTTGCAGTTGTGTGCTAAATAGATTGTACAAGGGAAGGATGGGTCCTGGGAGATGTGAGGGGACTCTGCTATAACCCAGACAGAGGTGACAGTCACTTAGATTATGGTGGCATCAGTAGAGACAGAAAAAAGGGAGTAAGTTTGTGATATGTTCTGGATGTAGAGATGATTGGTTCGTGGGTATGGAAAAATAGAGAATCAAGGCTGGCTTTTAGGTTTGGCTTACTGAAACAGATAATTGGTGGAATCTTTTTATTAAACTGAGTTAGACTAGCATTCAAACAGGTCAGGGGGTAGATAGCCCTGACATTAAATGTCCATTTGTAACATGTTGAATTTGTAAAGCCATTATAGACATAATCATGTCCTGCGTTACATAAACTTTTAAAAATGTGCCTCCCAAATGTTTTAGAAATGTAATCATTCCTCCCTTATTTTTCTTTTTATCCTTTCATGGAACACTATTTGGTAAACATTGAGTACATAATTTCTTCTATAATATGCAGCCAGGTTAAGAATGAACACTTTCTTAGGCTTTTTTAATTTCTCTTCATTTTCATCACAAGCACTTGCAGTTGGATATTTTTAGTCTTATTTTTTTCAATTTAAAAGCTCAAAATGCTTAATACTTTATTAACTGTCCCACAAACTTGACAAAGAATAGAGAATTATAAGGCTGTATTTTGAAGCTGGGACAGTGCTGAGAGATCAGCCTGTCTTAACATCATATAATATGCTTCCCTATGCAATAATATCATACTGGGGACAGTTAAAGTTGTGCTTCAGCAATGTGACACATTACCAGATTTTCTGGACCCAGAAGAATTAAAATAGCAAAGG